TGCTCCACACCGTGACCTGGGCCGTCTGTTTACTGTCCCTGGGAGACTGGGAGTCTCAGCATGCGGTACTCACATCTGTGAAGGAGATGGCGCGAGAAGCCTCCCCTTTGGGGCTAGGAGACAGGACTCAAAGCCTCCCTGCTCCTGGTGCCCCTGGAGGGCTGCATCTCAAAGGAGGACTTGACTTTGCAAACTGGGGACCCTAGAGACAGACCCTCCCATCAATACCACTTTCCATTACTTTTAAATACAAAGGCACCTCCAAACACCACCAACAGCATATGTGCGGTGGGGTGGGGTCCACACACAGAAATGCTTAGGGAAGTCAGCTAGTTCTTGGTTATTTCATTCATTACTTCACCTACACCCAGTTCTTAGGCCCCACCTCCATCACCAGAAGCTGGATGGTACAGGAGCCAGGCTGCACAATGCAGGTCCTCACTAAAGCCTAGGAAAGAGGCGGAGAAGGAAGCACAGGGCAGGGTAGGGGAATCCCATGTGGTTGCCAGCCAGCACAGAAGGCAGAGTGCAGTAAACAAGGCATGGGTCACAATCAGGTACTGCAAGGAGGCTGGAATGCAGGGCTGGGGCTCAGGACCCAAGATGCACACAGTGGGAGGGAAGGGGAAAAGAGAAGACCTGGAGAAAGCAGGCATGGGACGGGTGGGAGAGGCGGGGGGCTGGGCTGCTGCTCTCTCTAAGACCACACACAAGTGGAGAGGTGGCCAGGTCAGAAGGCAAGGCACAGGTGACTGGGAGAATGAGTCACTGTGGCACCGATCTGTTCTGAGACTGCCCCATGAGCTCCTCCTGGCAGGCCACTGTCTCATCTACCCAGACCAAAGCTCGGCACACGTTGGGTTGCCTTTCCTGTCTCAAGTTTCCTGTGATCAGAAACAACTGGACTTTGAAGCTCCTGGGAGGCTGGACGGTCTAAATCACAGACTAGGCCAATGGCACAGGCCTATAATCCCAGCTACATGAGAGGCCAAGGCAGGAGGATCATCATTTCAAGACCAGCCTGGGCAGCTAAGGAGATCTTGTCTCAAAGAAAAGAGCTGGATGTAGCTCAGTGGGAGAGCATTTTCCTAGTGTGCATGAAACCCTGGGTGAAACCTCTAACCCCCCACACCACAAAGGACCTTTCCTCTGGGACCTAAGCTGGACAGGACAGTCCGCTGGGCTCTATATATGACAGCTCATAGGCTGTTCACAGCACCCAAAGGGAGATGTCCCCCACTGGACTGAACACAAGCTCACAGAGAGAAGTACTGGCCCCATAGGCATCTGGCACCCAGTCCATCAGTTAGTGAACCTTACCAGCCAGCCCCACTTTAAGGACCAGATATGATACAGCAAGAGAAAAAGAAAGTCTTAGCCCTCATGGAGCCTCAGGAGTTTAGAATGGGAAAGAGAAACTTCAGAAGGCAAATGGTAGAATATATGGCAGCAGGCTGGGATACTTCCCAGTGGTAGAGCACTTGCCCAGTATGTACAAGGGCCTGGGTCCCATCTCCACTACCACAAAGAAAGTGCACAAAGATATTAGAGAGTGGCAGGTATATGGGTGTGAGCACTACTCTGGTGGGGAAGGCCTAGAGGCCCACAAAAAGGGCTGGCAGATCCCACAAAGGCCTGTCACATAGATAGCAGTCAGAGCTGTTGGCCAAGGCCTGCTCAGGTAGGTGCTGCTGGAGCCCCAAGGGACAGGGCTAGCTATGGGCAGCTTCGGGGCAGAGGACTGGCAGGGGTCTGGTCCCTCTAGCTTTGTGGGTCTTAGGGAGAATGGACGCAAAGATGTTGGAAGGGGAAGTGGTGGTGAGTACGTAGTAACAGACTGATCAATTCATGTACTCACTCGGCTCACATTTACTGAGTACCTACTGTGCAGCTGGCTCGGCCGTAAGAAGTGAACACAGCAAGTTCTTGAGTCACTGGATCTGTTAAATAAAAAATTAAAGACCCAAGCACAGTGACACATCCTTACAGTCCCAGCCACTCAATAGGCTGACCTGAGAGTTCAGGAGCAGCCTGGGCATCATAACAAGATCCTGTTTCAAAAGGACAAATAAATAAATAACCATAAGAAATTACCAGTGGAAGCTGTTTGGATTAAGCTCCTGCACTAGGTCCCAAAAGACAAGGCAAAATATCAAAATGGAGTTACTCATGCTAAATTCTACAACACTTATACTGAAATGAGCTGTTCATCTGACCATCTAAGAAAGTAAAATTGAAAGAAGTTACAGCCAAAGTGATCAAACGGGCAATTTCAGTTGGCGTAGTTATGAAGTCCCCTCTGCCTTAATTCTTTCACAGAAAAGATGACCCAGAGAAGCCTGTTAACCAATCAGTTGCTTTTCTACTATTCTGTCTCCCTGTCCCCACCATGCAAGCAAAGAAACTTTGAAATGACCAATCTGCTTTTTTTTTGGGGGGGGGTGTTTAGTTCTTTGCTCTGATTTCTTCGGGCCCTTTTCTGCCCATAAAGCCAACTTCTGCTCCGTTCACTACAACCCGTGTTCTGTTTTACAGGATGAGTGTTCTATTTTATGCAAGGAAACTGCCTGATGCCAGAAAGGAAGACAAAGCCAGTTAAGATCATGAAATTAATAACCACTTTTCGGTTCTTTGATGGAGCTTATACTGCAGGGACACAGGGATTTGTGAGGAATTTGTGTCTGATAAGGGGGAAGGGAAGAGAATGGAGGGGCTGTCTCGGGTGTAGTGATTGTGGTAAGCTTTCTCATAAGGTGATGCCTCAGCCCAGCAGTAAAAAGGATGGTGTCTCAGTTATTTTTCTCTCATGCTGGGACAAAACACCTGACACCCTAAATTAAGGAAAGAAAGCTTTATCTATATCACAGTTCATGGAGGTTTCAGTTCATACACGGCTGACTCCAAGGCACATAACAGAGGGCAGCAGTTCACGGCAGCAGAAAACAGCAGAGTAAAGGGAGGCGCAGCGGCTGTGGCTGCTAGCAAGCCTCTCTCCCTTCCTTATCTTGTATTCAGGCTATCAGCCCCAAGACGCGTGTAGCACTCACACCTATAATCCCACCACTGGATTATGAATTAATCACAAACTCTAGACACCTGCCCCAATGACTGCATGAGACACAACCCATAACAGATGGCGAGTCTTACAATGAAAAACGTTTTAAGGTTGCTAGAGATGGAGCCCAGGACCCGATACACACAAGTGCTGTGCCAGGGAGCTGCACCCCTAGCCCAGATACTGAACCTTGAGAAAGCTTTTCAGGCAGAGCAAGCAACAAGGAAGGAGAGCCTGCTCGCAGACTGACTAATAGACACAGTACTTGCGGATGCACTAATCGGTACCTACGTACCGGCCATTAGCCTGGGAGCTCTAAGGCATGTGACTGTCGGAACAAGGTGGTCCGGGATGCATGATTGGGCCCCTCTTCCCCTTAAGTCTTGAGGCCTTTAGGAGTGGGACAAGGATGGGTGTTGAACCTGCCACGCGGTCTGGAAAACAGGCAGAGAAATCCAAGGAAGAGGTGGGGTCTGTGCCGTGCCGAGGCCACCATGCATGCCTGTGCTATCTCTGGCTCTAACACAAGGAGAGTGACCCTGTCCTTCTCCCACCCCCTCATACCGGACTGTGAGCTCCATTACACAAGACTACACTTCTCAGCACTCATGGTGAGTGCTTTGCCTCTCTGTCCCCCTGGGTCATGAGGAACTGAGGAGAACCCACGGATGCCACCTTTCCTGGCTTGGCTCCAGGGCCCAAGCCAAGGCGCTTAGGACCTCAACAGACTCCAGGCCCTGTGCTGGAATCTCAGGGCATCAATCATAAAAACTTACTGTTCACTTCCTCATTAGTCCTAAGTCATTTCTGCTTCTCTTGTCATTCTGCTGACAAGACATGTTGTTGTAACTTGTACTGATTCCAGAACTTTGAACTATTTTTACTAACAATGTATGATGGCAAGCTATTCCCAAACACGCTTGATCACAAATGAAATCCTCCTACAAGATGTTGGCTGGAGGTGGATGTCCAGCCAAACAGTTCATTCAGATTTGCGTCCAGGCACTGGCCTCCTGGTCGGGTACGATGCTACAACCAACCTAGAATGAGGGTCCTACCCACAGAGCATTGTAGGGTGCTGTGAAAGGACCCTAATGGGGCCACCTCTGTCTTTCCCATGTGAGTCCCTCCCCTGGAACCCAGGGTTGCACAGGGAAAGTCACCTGGTTTCAAGGATACTTGACTGGTGAGAGGGCAGAGTCCCCGCACAGAGGCTGGGCTGCCTTGACCTGTTAGCTGTCTTTGACTCAGCTCTGTGGTTTTCAGAGCCTGGCCCTCAGACCAGCATCAGTGTCACCAGAGGTCTCACCCCAGACACCTGGAATCAGAAACTCTGGAGAGGGAGGAGCCCAGCAAACCATGTTTGAACAAGGGCCCTGCTGAGCTGATCCCTTGTGGACCTGGACCTCCCACACTCCACTGGCCAAGCCCTAGGACTGGCCAGGGGACACTGCAACGTCTCTAGGACAGTGACATAATCCCAGGGTCCTCTAAGTGAAGATGCACCTGCAGTTTCCTCATACAGCTCTCTGAGCAGGTAAAGAGAGTACATGCAGTCCCTTTGAATGTCCTTTGGTAAAGTCACAGGCAGCTGCCTACTGAGCGAGCCGGAACATTTAATTTCCTCAATTTAAGAGTCTCGCGGTACCTTAAGCAGGAACCCTATGCCCACCACACACTCCTTCCTGCACGACCAGCAAGAGTAGGGCCACAGGGAAGCCAACTGGAATCTGCAGCCTCAACCTTAGCTCTTTAAGGGAAAAGGAACATCTTGGGGTACCTGCTGCCCCAAACTGGGGATAGAACCCAAGGCTTTGTGCAAGGAGTGTACCAGTGAGCCACACCCTCAGCCTCATGTTTGCGTTTGGGGGCCGTAGTTACATCCCCCAGAAGGTTCTACACTGCACATTTAACTGCCACCTTGCAGGAGCCCAGCCTATGGCATGGATTATCTCGCTGACTAAGGGAGGCTTTGGACGTTGAGCAAGCAGCCCAAGGTCACACAGCAGGTGGTGGAGGCAAAGGCCGCCCCAATCGCCTCCCTTTGGACTCTCCGGCCTTCTCCAGGTGCTGGATGCGGTCAGCTCACTCGGACTGGAACCAAATCCTTGCCGCTCGGCAGTCCCAGCCCTCGAGGAATCTGCCTCTCCAGCGAAGCCGTCCTCCTGGGCTCCAGGAAATCCCCCGGGTCTTTCCCCGTGGGGCCCCGGGCATAGCGGCCCCTGCAGAGGGCTCTGTTCGCTCTTCCAGGCGTGGGGGCTGACCCGGGATCTGTTCTCCGTAGCCCTCGCTAACTCAGCTAACTCAAGTCACCAGGGCTGAGTGGGGGCTGGGCCGCCGGGCAGTCGGATGACCTGCTAGGCTGCGAGTCTCCGCCCCCGCCGAGCCGCGGGCAGAGGTCCGGGCCCGTGTCCGCGCTGCAGCCGAGCGGCAGCCGAGAGGAGCTCAGCATGACGGCCATCTCCGTGCAGGTATCCGGGCCTGGGTCCGCCGGGCGCTGCGGGCCGTGGGAGGGGGAGGAAAGGGGGCGGGGCGAGCCCCCCTCCACGCCAGCCCCCGGCTGCCTCAAACCCGCCGGGTCCCCAGAAACTCCCCGGGAGGCGATCTGCGGGACGAACAGTCGCCCCCAACGCTACTCCCACCGCCCACCCCAACCCGGCTTCTGCGAGCCCCTGCGTCTCCCAGACTTCTCTGGGGAGGTTTCCCGCTTTCCTTGGGGTCGCCTGCGACCTGTCTTTTGGGTTCAGCAAAGCGGTCCCGCCTAAAAAAATGAGACATTTGGGACTGGGGAGAGAGGACAGAATAGACTGGCAAAGTTAGACTGGACCTGTCTAACAGGCAAGACGCGTCCTAGAGCTGGAACTTCCGCTGGAGGGTTCTAGGAAGACCACCCACCCCAGAATTGTGTGCTGAGATCGGGGTGAGGGGTGCGGGGCACGGGGAGCGGGGTTCCCGCGGACTAGCTGGCAGCCGCACACCCCAGACAACGGGGCCGCCGCCCTGCAGAGTTGGTTTCTCCTTAGAGCAGGGCAAGGTGTGAATGCTGCCTTAAGGACCTGCCTACAGGTTCCTGCCCGTCCAAAGGGAAGTCCCAGGTGACCCGCTGACCCGGTGCGGCTTTCAAGCTTCACTAGCACGTCCTGTCCTGATGATTACAAGAGCTCTTCTGGAGCTCAGGGCCCCCTGACACTGATAAAGTTACATACTGCTCTGCTTGGTTTATTATAATTAAGGCAAGGTGTTGCTCAGCTGCTCAGGCTAACCTTCAGCTCCTGGGCACAATCGATCCTCCTGCCTCTAGGGAGAGTCAGCTGCCTTGACTCTGCCCATTTTACAGATGAGAAGTTGAGGCTCAGAAGTAACTTGCCCACACAGTGTTCAGCTAACTGACAGAATCAAGATTCAAACCCAGGATGCCCTGCCTCCAAATCCTGGTTGCCCCTTCTCAGAAAGGACATCCACAGCCGCCTCAATTCCCTTTTAACCAGGACTCAGCTGCTTACTGGCCCCAGGGCACAGGGTTCTTTGAATCCCCCTGTTTGTTCTGAGGTGAAGGCTGCATCATCTCCAGTGACCCGCCTCCTGGGGGAGACGGGACAGGTGGCCAGGAGGGCAGGGACAGGTGGCCAGGAGGGCGGGACCAGGTGCAGTCTTCCTGAGGAGTTTATGATCTGGCTAAGGAGGCTGAGAGGCTGGTAAACAAGGGATGGAATGGAGGAAGTGGGCGCTAAATAAAGAGGTGCAAACGCCTGGGATAGGATTACCTTCAGCAGGGCAGGAGAAAGAGGCGCACTAGGCAATGGGCTAAGGTGGGCAAGCAGGAATGACCCAGGTGAGAAGGGCCGAGCTGTCTGTAGGACGGTGCAGAGCTCCTTGTGGAAGCCAAGCATCCCTCCTCTGAGCAGGGGGAGCCCACAGATGCCCAGCCAGTAGCCTCATCCTTACAAATAGCCTTAGGAAGTAAGGGCTGTGGTCTCCATTGGAAGGCCAGTGAACAGGACAGGATGAACAGCACAGCTAAGAGCAAGCTCTAGGTCATGCAGGTGGGGTGGGTGGACCGCTTGGGGAAGACGCCCCGGAATGTTGGTGGTGATGATGGCATGACCCAGGCCTGGCCAGAGTGGGTGCCAAGGCACAGCGCCTATGGGAGCTGTACTAGGCAGGAGGGGCAGGAGGAGGAGCCCACAGAGTCTACTTTGGGTTGCTGTTGGTTGACAGCAGCACATGAGGCCCTGGGTTACAGGAAAGACGTGAACGTGGCATTGCACTTAGTGGCCCTGAAGTGTTGGGGTCCTTGTTTTAAAGGTCACCAGGCTCTCTTTGCCTCATCTCCCACAAGAACAAAGACCATTCTTAGCAATCAGACAGTTGACATTCCAGAAAATGTCGACATCACTCTGAAAGGACGCACAGTTATTGTGAAGGGCTCCAGAGGAACCCTCCGGAGGGACTTCAACCACATCAGTGTGGAACTCAGTCTCCTTGGGAAGAAAAAGAAGAGGCTCCAAGTTGACAAATGGTGGGGAAACAGAAAGGAGTTGGCAACTGTCCGCACGATCTGTAACCATGTACAGAACATGATCAAGGGGGTTACGCTGGGCTTCCGTTACAAGATGAGGTCTGTGCATGCTCACTTCCACATCAAGGTCGTTATTCAGGAGAATGGGTCTCTCGTCGAAATTAGGAATTTCTTGGGTGAAAAATACATTCACCGAGTTCGTATGAGGGCAGGTGTTGCTTGCTCAGTGTCTCAAGCCCAGAAAGATGAGCTAATCCTTGAAGGAAATGACATGGAGCTTGTTTCAAATTCAGCTGCGTTGATTCAGCAAGCCACAACAGTCAAAAACAAGGATATCAGAAAATTTTTGGGTGGTATCTATGTTTCTGAAAAGGGAACAGTTCAGCAGCAGATAGAGTATGATCCAAGAGTTGATCCAGCCGCAGAAACAAGCTTCTGGATTGTAAAGCCAATCTGATGTTTTAATGAGACAATAAAAGATCTTTATTAAATAGAAGGAAAAAAAGTCACCAGGACTCACTCAAGGTCAAGGTCATTGTTGAAAAAGGGACCCGCTGTATTTGCTTTTTTTTTTAATCTATGGAAGAAGTCATAGATTTGAAGAAATAGCCCTAGGGCACGGAGCTGGGGACCCAGGCTAGAGACTGCCGTCCTACACACACACACACACACACACACACACACACACACACACCGTCACTGCACTGAGATGCTGCTGCCATGCTTCCCCTAGGAGAGGGTTTCAGGGCTGGTGCAGGTAGTGACAGCACGGGCTTGAGGTGCCAGGTGGTTTGGAATGAAGACACCAGTGGGTGCAGTTATTACCATTAGTCACTCTCCCAAATTGAAAGCGGTCTCTGTGCCATGTCCTTATGTACACAATCTCATTTAATCCTTGGGAGTTTTATTGATGGTCAGTGTTTAAGTAAATCCTTGTTTGAGGGCAGGAAGAGGAGAGATGAACTGAGATCAGCTGTTTTTCTCTTTGTGATCACAGGGTGATGTCTTCTGGCCTGGAGATTAAAGTCCAGCCTGGGCCGGGGACAGGCGGGGCTGAGGGGACAGGACGTGCCTGTTTTTCAGTGTGGTGTCTAGGTTCAAAAGGTTTATGGGTCCTGCGGTCTTGTGACTTGTTCTTTGCAACTGGGGCTTTTCCATTTCCAGCCAAGGGATATTGAAGGGCTACTGCTTTCCCACAGGGGTGACCAACTACTGTTGATAGACAAGAACCAAGGGCCAAGGAGGTTAAGAAACCCTCCTCTCTTGGTTGGTGTCATAGGCCTAGAAGCACAGTGTTCCAAGGTTCCTTGGGTGTGTTCCTTACCTGTAGATCCTCTTATGTCTTTCGAATGGCATGCAGTGTGGACTCCTAGACCCCACTCTTTAGCTGAAGCGAGGCAGAATACCCAGAGGCAGGCTGTTCAGTTTTCCCTACTACCCTACCACAGTGCCTAGAGGCCCTCCGGGAACCCAGAGCACACAGTTGGAGAACCAAAGCACACACGCCTACCTGGGTGCTTTTGCAGCACCCCAGGCTCTGACTGGAGGTGCTGGGCCTAGTTCTGGCATGGTCCTTTGGGCATTCCTATGTACCCATATCCCCTTCCTTAACAGTGGTGCTAAGCCCTTAGCTCCAAGGCCCTGTACTTAGAAGGTCCCAGTGGGTAGTTCTTAGCTGACAGACTCCACCCCTAGCACACAGTCTTTGTCATTTTTGCCTGTTGCCGAGCCACAACACCTGTTACAGCTTGTGTCTAGCTGTCCCCCAACGCCTCATGCAGCCACAGCAGGGGCTTTCCGGAGGTGTCTAGATCTAGAGTGTATGATGCTGGCATTCAGGGTGGTTGATTATTAAATCAGTCTACTGTTTGGACTGGTACCATCCTAATCCCAGTACTCTATGTAAAGTATGAAAGGGGCAGCAAGATGCTGTCAAAGTCCCCTGTCACTTTGCTACAACTGCGGCAGTGAACTATTCTCTGCAAAGCCACCCTGCCCTGGAGCCAGCTGACTGTGGACTGAAACCACTATAGACTGTGAGCTAAATAAGCCTGTCCTCCCTTAACTTTGGGAGTTGGGCATTTTGTCTCAGCAAGGAGACAAACTAAGAGGTTACCCAACACCCACAACTTAAATTAGGAGAGTTTTTTGGGGGTTCATGTTTTCATCCCATGGTCAGCTGGCTCCATGCAAAAGGGCCCAGGTAGAAGACAGCTGCTCATCCCATGCAGCCTGGGAGCAGAAAGCAAAGGGAGGACCTGCGAGGGAGATACACCCTTGCAGGGCACACTCCCAGTGGGCTCTCTAAGCAGGCCCCACTTCTCAGCGACACACCCAGCTGCTGAGCTCAGCAGGAAAAACGTCTGGTGAGAATAGCACCTCCGTGACCCAGTCTTCCTCCAAAAGCCCTGCCTCTGAGCACAGGAGAGGTTGGGGGACAGCTAGATGTAAACAGTAGCACACACTGGACAGTGGTCTGCAGACAGTTGCAGGCATTTCTGGAATGTAGGTGAGTGACGACGTTGGGCACATGACCTGCCACATGCATGACATAGTTTGCCTCTTTATAAACTCTCCTTCATCCTCAGCACAGGCTAGTGGACAGCCTTGCAAGGTCCCTGACTACTGTTTCCCAGGAGCCAGGCTCTGCCCTGTGTCTTGCGTGGAGAAGCGTGGCCCACACTTGCCCCTGAAGCATCCATCACACAGGCATAAGGGGCATCCCAGGAGCTCCTTTTGCCTGGTCTCCTAGCAGTGACTACCGGTTGGCTATATGCTTTGCTTACCTCCCAAAGCAAGGGGAGAATCTGCTCTCTAACACCGTAAGGGTAATTTAACTTGTGACAGGGCAGGAGACTTGGGTTAAAGGGAGTTTCACATGGAAGTGACCTTTCATTAACCCATGGATCTTCCTCAAGCAGGTACTGCATGCACAGGTCAGATGCTGTGCCAGCTATCAGGGACCCAATAGTGTTACGACATGAGGGCCTTGCCCTCTGGAGGACAGTGTCCAAGTGAGACAGATAAAATGTCACTTCAAAACAGATATGAATGATAAAGAAAGCAAAGGGGTACCTGGCAGAGAATGCCAGAGAGTGCATTAGGTTGGATGGGTGGGAAGAACTCTGCAAGGAGGTGACTTTGCATGGTGGTGCATGCCTGTAATCCCAGCACTTAACAGACTAAAGCACCTGCTTAGGCAGAGTGCAGCAGCCAGGATTTGATCCCAAGTGTGCCGTGCTGGCCCCACTCCCAGGGTGCGCTGAGACAGTGCTTGAGACTGGGCGTGGTAGCCTGTGCCTGTAACCCCAGCGCTTGGGAGACTGAAAACAGGAGAATCACTATGAGTCCAGTCTATGTAGTGAGACCCTGTAGACCTTGTACCAAATACATTTAAAAAAAAAAAAAAGACCCTGTCTTAATCTACTGTTTTTCTAAAGGGCTAGGAATATAACTTGGTGGGATGGTATTGGGCTCAGTGCCTACTACCATAAGGAATAAACCGTCTCAAAGGACAGTGAAAAGGAGTTGTCCTAAAGAGGCAGGGCAGCTGTAGAACAGTCTGTTGGGCCGAAGGGCCAGGAGGTCTGAGGGAAGAAAAGTTCTGGGCATGGAGATAGGGCAGCCATGACTCCTGAGCATGGTGGGGAGGGAGAGTAAACCGGGAAGAGAAGTAGGAGAAGGAAGCGGGTCAGTTGCGCAGGGCTTGTGGCTGTGGCAAACAGTCTTACTCCGTGCAGCATTTCTTTCTTTGGCTTTTTGGGTTAGTGGTTGCGAGCCATGCCAGAAGGGACAGGAGACAGCACCACACAACCGAGCTTGCAGGCTGGGTGACCAAGCAGGTAAGAATGCTCCTCTCCAACATGGAGACTAGTGGCTTCTTCAGGCCTAGAAGGTGCTGCCAGAATCACTTTGGTTGTCCAGCTCTGGGTGGTGGACAGGCCTACAGGCTGAAAGGCAAAGTGCAGACATCACTTCTAGGACTGGCGAAAACAAGATGATAACATGGAGCCCGAGACCAGATACAGAAAGTGCAAAGCCAAGTGGGTGTGGGTTGGGATAAAGGTTGAGGCACACTGGACAAGAAGGCAGGACCTTAGGCATGGTCGTGCTACGGTCTCACTGCTGGGCAAAGTTCTCATTTGGTGTACAAAGAAGCTGAGGCAGGCTGCATGTTCAAGGCCATGGGAAACAGGCAGATGGGTTTTTTGAATTAAGAATGGCATAGGGTTTCTGGGTCAATTTGAACTTCGCACCCATTGTTGAGATCATAAAAAGAAGAGTGGTAAGGGAATATTTAGGGTCTGGTGAATTCTGGACAGCCAGTGCTTATAGGTCTATGAGGAAGGTATAAGAGGGGAGGGCTCCAGTGAAGGTGGGCTTGTGCTGTGGAAGGGGGGGCAGGTGGGCAGACTCTAGGCTTCCTGTGAGACCCAAGCAAAGAACAAGGCTCTGGGATGTGGAAGGCATGTTTGGATTCTTCCCTGGAGAGTCTGAGGAGTCTGTGGGTGGCAGCCCTGGCTGACATTGCTTCCTTTGGTGTCTTCCAGGCCCAGAGGCTGTTGGGCCAGAGGAGGCCCCGCCGGTCCTTCTTTGAGTCCTTCATCCGGACCCTCATCATCGTGTGCAGCGCCCTGGCCGTGGTCCTCTCTTCCGTCTCCATCTGTGACGGGTACTGGCTCCTGGCTGAGGACCGCCTCTTTGGGCTGTGGCACTTCTGTTCCATCGCCAACCAGAGCAGGCCACGCTGCTTCCGAGACCTGAACCAGGCCCACGTCCCTGGGCTGCCTGTGGGTATGGGCCTGGCCCGCAGCGTGGGTGCCATGGCTGTGGTGACTGCCATCTTCGGCCTGGAGCTCCTCATGGTGTCCCAGGTGTGCGAGAACATCTACTCTCGGCGTAAGTGGGCCATCGGCTCTGGCCTCCTCCTGGCCTCCTTCTTCTTGTCCTCCGCGGGACTCCTGGGTTTTGTGATCCTCCTCAGGAAAGAAGTCACACTCATCAGCTTCACTCTGATGTTCTGGTGTGAATTTACTGCCTCGTTCCTCTTCTTCCTGAATGCTGTCAGTGGCCTTCATATCAACAGCATTACCCAGCCCTGGAGCCAACTAAGGGAGTTCTAGGGCCTTCTCTGGAAACCTCTGTTCCTACAAGAAAATATGATCAAGACGAGGCTTTTCCAACATGTGACCTCTGAGGAGAACGGGGTGGTACCCTGACCTTGAAGCTGCTGCCTTCATAGCCAGTAAGCTCTGTGTTGTCTGCCAGAAATGGCCCAGGGTCCTCGGTAGCTGGTGGCCCGGGCCAGAGGACAGGAGTGCCACCAGCTGCACAGGTTGGGCTGAGCTATGAGGGTGTTGATTTCAAAAGAAAAAAAATATTAATGCTCTCTCCTTGAGTTTCTTCTCTGGCCTGGGATCAATTTAGAAGTCCTGTCTCTGGTCCATAGGCTGGCTACCGAGACAAGTACTGCTCCCACCTATTTTACTGACTGTTCAAAGAGGCCTTGGGGCTCCTGAAGTTGCTAAGAATGGAGCTGGATTGTTCTTCTCCATTAAGGGACCAATCAGTACATAGCATTTTCTTCCACCAGCTTTGCATACATTTTCCCGACTCTTTTTGTGTGTGTGTGTGTGTGTGTGTGTGTGTGTGTGTGTGTGTCTATGTGTGTGTGTGTAACCAGGGATTGAACTCAGGCCCTTGCGCTTGCCAGGCAAGCCTTCATTCTACTGAGCTATCTCCCCAGCCCATTTTCCCGACTCTTGCAGAAATCTTTTAGAAAGTGCTACACATAATAGGTTTTCAAACCATTTGACTTGATTGCACCCTGGTCCTTCTGAGGTTTTCGCAAACCCCAGATAGGCAAGCTGCCAGCAGCGGTCTGTCTGCTGGGGCTCTGACCATCAGTGTTTTCTGGAGCAGGCCCTCTCAGGGGTACCTTCCTGAGGCCAGTGTGTGTATGTGCCAGCTTGGGAGTTCAGCTTTTGTAGGATTATTTGGCCTCAGGGCACCATTTTTGATCCTAGAATCATTTTTAAAAGCACACAGTTGGACCCAGTGGACTTTCCAGGGGGCACAGGGAGCAGCCAGACCTTAGTAATGATTAACAGTCATCCTGGGGATGAGTGGAGAGCGAGGGGGTTAAGAACCAGTGGAGCTTTCCATCCTGCCAGCAGATCTGCATTTCATCACCCTGTCCCCTTTCCAGTCCTTTCTCTGCCTAGAAAAAGTGAAGACTTTGACCACTTTATTGTGACTACCCCAACTGGTAAATTCTGGCTTCCATGTACCACACAGGGCTTTGGCCTCCGCTCTACCCTTGCACTGCAGGTCCCCACTTTTGCTGGGCATCTGTGTCTACCTAGCTCTATCATGATTCTTTTTTCCTTGAGATGAGGCCTCCCTCTGTTGCCCAGGCTGGTCTTGAACTCCTGGGCTCAAGTGATCCTCTCATCTCAGCATCCTTGAGTTTAGGGATGTGCCACCCTGGCTAGCCCCTCTATGGTGATTTTTTAACAATCTTTATTCCAAGATGCAGAGTCACAAGGCAAGGTTGAGGCAGGATGTAGGGTGTCCACAGGGATTGCCTGAGATGTTTGTTGCTATTGCTGTTGTTCATGGTGCTGGGGATCAACCAGAACATACACGCTCAGCATGTGCTCTACCGTTGAGCCCCATACCCAGTCCCACCTGAGAGTGCGGGCTGCTTGGATTTGCAGAGAGCGAAGTGGTCACCCACACAGGCTGGAACTTACCTGGGAGGTGGGAATCTGCAGCGGTCTATAAGATGTAGCCTTCTAGACAGCCACCTTATCTGCAAGGAAAAGAAGAACCAGGCGGAGCTGCCCACTCCCAGAAAGAGGCTTCTCGCTCTGTACTGCATCATCTCTGCTTCACTCCAGAATGCTTCCTATGAGCACGAGTAGGTTTTATTTTATAAAAGGATTCATGCTGTGCTTTTGCATAGGGACAGGGACTGCAGAAATTCAAGAGGACCAGAGTGATGGCTGAGACCAAAGTCCTCCAGAGCTCAGTGGGGCAAGGAGACAAGCTCTGGGCCATTCCTGCATGGGAGTGGGAACATCCCAAACACAGCCTTGGAGCTCACGCATTTGAAGGAAGAGGACTAGACGAATGGCCACCTCCTTGCTGAGTAGCCCAGGCAAGCCGTGGCGCCTTGTGGGTCTGTTCCAATCTGTAACGTGTGATCAGCTGCCCTTTCTGCTGTGCCACCTCTGCCTGGCCGACCACATGTGCCTTCTACACTGTCAAGGACATTAAACAGACTGGGGGGCCTGGGTCTCCCCTTCAACTTCATCCGATTCATTGAGCTGTTGTCCTGAATGCTGTGGGAGACAGATGAGTTGCAGAGGGGGACTTCTTGTGTTCTCTGAGCTGCTAAGCTTGTCCCTGAAAATGAGCTGGGACTCAGGGAAGCCCCTTTTCCCTGCAGGAAGGAACTAGAGAGTGAGCCGCAACGTAGCCCTCCCCTTGAGTTTTGGGGTGAAAAGGCTGACAAACACACACAAGTCTCTGCCTGGGGACCATTTATTTCCCAGCCCCTTCTTGGGCTCTTGAGCTGCTCTTCCCAGAGCAGCAACACAGACCAAGGCCCAGGCCTTGGTCCTGGCCCATGGTGCTCCAAGTCCCTCAGGCCTGAGTCCCAGGCCTCGGGTGGTGTGGCGAGGTTCTCAGCTACAGTGCAGAGCTTGAGATGTCTCCAGGTCCTGCAGCAGTATCCAGCCCTCTCCACACCTGCCTCATCCTCTGTCCATGACAGCCCTGCTGCAGCCTCTCAGAGGACGCCGGCCCTGAAGGTGCCCCGGCTCTTCCCTACAGGGCTGGCTTTGCTGCTGGCCTTGGTGCGATGGATGGGGTCACTTGTGCCATTGCTGAAGGAGGAGCTGAGGGCTGTGGGGCGCAGTGGGAACTCCTGGAGGTGCCACTGTCGCCACTTCTTCTGAACTTCCAGCTGCACCTGCCCAAGATCATCCATCAGCTAGGGAGAGAGGGCCAGCCAGTGCCAGAGCCTGGGCCTCACCCCCTCATTCACAGGGCCTGAACCCCCAGAAGGCTCTGCCACTCCTGCCTAGATGGTTGGCCGTCTCCCCCCTCTAGGCCACTCCAGCTGACCACAGCAGCCTGGGCCACCTCATCACATCATGTCCCCTAGACAGGACCTGTGGTTTCTCTCCCCAGCTATAACACACAAATGTCCCTATCTGCCCTGGGACACCTGGATGCTCATAGTCAGCCCAGCTCAGCAGCCATCCAGAGCCACAGAACTGCTCCGTGATCATTTCCTTTACAATCTTTACCTCAAAGAAGCAACCAGACTTCTGAGGCCAGGCTTGATGCTCCATTTTTGGAAAGTATCAGAGGCCACTCCCTCTGAGCATGGCAAACCAGACAGAGGGACATCATGTACAAGCAGTGCTGGGGGCCTGGCCTCTGTGCCTGCAGGCTGCTGGCCTGACCGAATGCTCTATGCACAGCCCATGGAGTCATTTGGAAGATAGAGCCATAGGCACTTTTTAGTCACCCACTGCATTTAAGGCAAGTCTAAGGACAGAGAGGGCAGTGACCCCTTCTGACAAGCAGCTTAGCAGTCAGGAACCTGTGTTCTTCTTGAGGGAACTGCACCCTTTTCCTGTGTTTCCTGGACTAAACCACAGATCAGAATCAGCAGGCGTGCTCAGTAAAACTCTGTCAGGCCCCTGACCTATAGAATCCACTTTTGCTCAGTCAGAACTGGGGTCAGGGCCAGGCGTGTTTAGCACACCTTCCAGGTGAACCTGTTGTTCCTATTGAGCGCAGACTTCTGGGAGACTGGTCAGGCCCACTCTGAGGCCAGCCTGCTCCCTTTTACCCTCCCCCACCCTCTCCAGCAGCTCTCACTGGAGCACAGTGGCATCCCAGGACACTTACCTCCCCGTTGAGGAAGCAGTACAGGACAGCCACCACCAGCCCCTGCCAGGGGGAGCAGGGGTTAGTGTGGGCTCACCATCTTGGGTAGCTGGACCCAGGACTCACTCCTCAGATAGCTCCTGCCTAAGTCCCCTGGTCATTAACTCTAGACTTTCTTCTCTACCTTTCTCACCTTAAGAAAATTACCGCTTCAGGCCCCTGGTTATACCTATGCCACCCAGCATGGACTGAGTCCCTTTTGTCTGTTGTTCCCAAGGTCTACCAGGAGTTCAAACATATGTAGAGTCAGTGACAGAAAGGGACAGCTGGCAGTGACTTTCATCAGTAAGGTGGGCTACCTGGGAGCAGCAGGACTAAGTAGCACCTGAAGGGGTGTTCCCGCCCTACTGTGCAGGGCCAGAGCCAGGCCAGTGGAAGACCTATTTTGAAGATAAGCTAGAAATGTGGAGACACTGGAACATGGACAGTTTCCATACTCAAGAACAAATGTGTGGTCAGAAAAAACCATGTCCAGGTACAGACCAGAGGCAGCTTGGTCTCCCTGCTTAGGGGCAGGTGGGCACTTAGCAAGCTCTGTGCCACCTCCACCTGTCCTTGTTTGGCAGGCTGCCCTTCTGGTGACCCCTGTTCCCCCAGGGGCCAGCGCATATGGCTGTAACCTTGGGTGGCCTGGCTTCTCTTCCCTAGTCCCACCCAGGTCTGCCTTTATGTATTTACTGCTTTGGAAAGGACCTCAACAACCTGAACCAGCCCTTCATCCCCACTGCTCAGGGATATTGGCCTTCTCTCATGGGGACTGAACTCAACCTCTTAGTATGCTGAGCACATTGTCTACCGCTGAGCTGACAGCCAGGCCCGGATATTGGCATTTGAATAAATGAGTGACAAACTAGAAGAGTCCACGTTAGAATTCCGGTGTCAGGGGCTGCTGCCTAGACGGGGAACTCTGCAGGGCAGGAGTGCCTGCGGGCTGTGGTTTGTGTTCTGCTGCACATCCACTCCCTGGGGAGCTTTTGCCCCCAGGTTGAGCTCTCTACCTGGCACCTGAAGGTCAGAGAGGGGGAGATGAGTAGCTGTTAAAGGTCCCCAGAAGGCTGGAGTGGGCTTCATCTTCTGGGAGCCACTGTCAGAAAAAGAGACGCTTAAGGGCTTCAGATCTGCAGCAGAGCTTGGCCGGAGTCCTTGTGCTCCCTGGATTCCTCCGTGCCCTTCTGTGTAAAGCCCCGGGTAGGCGGTGGAGGGAGAGGGGCCCTGCAACTCACAGGTAAGGAAACAGCCACAGAAGGTTCTGGAGAGTGAAGCAGTGTGTGCTCAGCCAGCGCTAGCGGCTGGGCTGGTCTCCCTGTCCTAGGAGCTGAGGACACATCCTCACTGTCCGGGTCAGCAGGAGCCCTAGGCGAGGCAGGGAGCTGTGCCCCAAGCAGCTGGGGCAGCAGCCTCACAGGAGTCACCAAGCTCACTGCGTTCCACAGTTATCATGTGATCATTAAAAATGAAGGCCTTTGCAGAATTTTAATGGCAGGCAATATTCAAGAAAGGCATGACGGAGGATTAAAGCACGCAGGACACAAAGCTATACACATTAGGAACCTACGTGCATGTGCGTGTGCGCGCGCGCGCGTGTGTGTGTGTGTGTGTGTGTGTGTGTGTGTTGATAGAAGTTGTGTGTTGATAGAAGTTGTGGGTTATGAAATTATAGATTGATCCTTTTTTCATTCTAATACTGGGGATTTGGCGCCTTCAAACATTAAGCAAGTGCTCTACCACTGAGCCATAGCCCAGCCCTTTTAAATTTTTCTTTTTTTACTTTTCATTCTTTTCCTCTAATAAGCAAATGTTATTTCATGCAATCAGAAATTTCATTTGCTTTACTTTTTAAAAGTATTTGATAGTGATAATGGTATTGTGGACAGTGTTAAGTCCTTATCATTTAGAACTTTCAGTAGTTTTGTTTCCTTCATAATGGTCATTTGGGACAACTTAGAACGTGCTTTTGGTTTTCTCGTGGCAGTTTCCCAAACAGAAGCCAAATATTTTCCTCCTAAGTAGTCGACACCCCCAAGCACAAACCCTAATCTGGGGACCAGAAGTCCTGAGCAGGTAGCGAGGCAGTTCTGGGTCTCCAACCTCTTCCTGGTCACTGCCCACTTGTGTGAGCTGGTCAGTCTCTTCCCCTGCGCTGACCTCAACATCCCCAATTGTGGAATGGGTCATGGTGAATCCAGCCTCGCTGGACTACACACACAATGGCTGGGAAGGCTCCCTGGCCAAGAGGAGAAGAGTCACGGGTTCTCAGGAGGTCGGGCCCTGCTGGGACTGTGGGCAAAGGAGCTGCTCAGAGGAGAGCAGAGGGGCACAATCCGAGTCTCAGCAAGGATGTTTCCAGCATTGCTCCTGGAACTTGTAAGTGGAGCAGGAGCTGTGCTACTACTTCTGGCTGTGCTACTACACAGAACCCTAAAAATGAGGGGTGCACTGAGCCCCACCCTATTGCCGAAGCTTCCTGTGGAGAAGGCTCTGCAGGGTAGTGTTGCTGCACTGTGGGCTGGGGGTGAGGTCAGGGTAGCTCCTTTAGGAAAGCCCACCGCCCACAGAGGCTTCTCGCAGACCGGACAGCCTACAAGCATGGAGCTGCTTTGGGCAAATGGCAGTGGTCTGATCCCCTCCCAGCTTTCCCTTTGGGGCTGCGGGTGGAAGTGGGGGCCTATGTGCCCTCCCCTGACTGAGCTATACTCGCAGCCCAGTTTGGCTCCATCTCACAGACCGTAAAATTTGAAACACGTTCTTTCTCTTTGCTATAGGCTGCCAGGAAGCTTCAGACTTCCTGGTGAGCCATCTCCTGACCCTGATAGGAGCTTTATCAAATTTGTTTCTGTGTAGGAGCTCAGCTAGCTTTATATTTTTTTTTTCACTTTTCCTTCATCTACTTTTGTGTGTTTTTCCCCAAAATGGCATCATCTTCCTTTAGGAAGGAAATATCTATGAGTAAATGGGCAAATAACGTCACGATGGTTGGGATTCAAATAAAGACTCTGTTCTATTTAAACATGGTTCATTTTGTTTGTTTTTAACATCACAGTATCTTTTGGAGTTAGCAGGTAGGTGATTTTCCACCTTCTTTTTAAAGTCAGTTTTTATTTTTAATAAGTTCCATGTGCTCATGGTTTGAAAAAGTCAAATGATTCTTATTTTTAAAATCCAGCAGCCTCCTGACACCCCACCCCGATTTCCTGTTCCTCAGAGACAACTGCCTGAATCTCTTCACTGATTCTAAGTAACATGCTGATGCTGCTGCTTGTGGCTTTTTCAGCTTGGACATTTTCTCTGGACTTCTCTGTCCAAAGACGGGAAGGCTTTCGGGCCCTCTCCCACAGGGCTAATCCTCCCTCTGGCTTTTTGATGGCTCAGCTTTGGCTGTTTACGCTTTTGAGGCACTGTGCAGGCTCTAGAGAGTTGTGCAACAGTGTGCCAGGGTGGCCTGCCCCTGTGCTCCCCGGAGTCAGACTCCCTCAGTTTCATCTCCATTTGGCAATTGGAGAGTCCCACTCCGGGTCACACACACAGCACAAGCAGATCGTCCCCAGCCCTGTGTGGGCCCCTGCCAGTGAGGTGTCCCTTACCCCAGCCCCACCTCAACCTCAGGAAGCTCTGGCTTCCTGTCTCTATGGCCTACCCTTCTCACTAAGGAAACAGAGACCTCCTCCCTTCGCCACACAGTCGCCAGTACATACCTGGAATGAGCCAAGGGCCAATTCAAAAAACAGCTGCACCTCCATGGCATCTTCCGGGGAGAAGGCAAAGACGATGTAGTGGACCCCAAAGAGGGGGATCAGCAGGAGGGTGGACTTGGCCAGGCGCCTGGGGACACAAGGGCACACTGCCACTCCTGCTTGAAGTGATGGCCACTTGAGCCTTGGCAACCGTGTCTCCACATTTTTGCTTGTTGGTTTTCAGTTTTTGTTTTTGTGGTATTGGGGATCAAACAGAGGGCATATTTGGCAAAAACCTTACCACCCCCACTCCCAACCCCTACCCCGCCTGTTCTAATTTTATTTTGGAAAATTCCTAGCCTTCCACATACTCATCCCACAGACACAGTGCTCACCAGCTCAACCAACCCTAAAGCTTTTGGATCCTAAGCACCTATCAGTAGCTACAGAAACACTGAAATAACTTTTAAATTAAATATGGGTCTACGATTACTACTCGGTGACTCATACATGATGAGCAAAGCCAACTTTGTTATTTTTTAAACAATATGTATCTATGTTGGTAAGTTAAAGCAGATCCACACGTGCAAATAGCATATTATCTCGCTTGTGTGACAACCTGAAAGAGTAATGAGAATCTAAAAGGTACAGCAGATACTGTGAAAGGGAAAGAAATTGGGAAAGAATGGGGAAGAAAAACTGGGACGAGGAAAAGGACAAATGAAAGATGAGAAAAAGTTATATTTAGGTATATATGCAGAAGTTTGGATAATTGTATTGTCAGTTTCTGCTGATCTTTTGAAAGAAGCAGTTAATGTAGTAAAAAGAAGTTTCTTTACTCTGATTTTTTTTTCTCTTTTGAATTTCTTACAACTGCTTTGTTATTGTTTTGTTTTGTCTTGTTTTTTCTTTAAATGAGTCTTACACATATCTGGTAATCTGAACAACTAACTTGAAGATAACATCATGTAATACAGCAACTATTGCTGAATTCTTGTTGCGTTGTTTAGTGAAATCTTGTATTGTTTCTAGTGCTATTATTTTCTATCACTATTTTGTATACTTTAAAAATAATAATAATAGATATCTATAAGGAAAAGTTCTTATATTTTCTTCCAAACCAGCGCTTTCAAATTTATCAACTAAAGATACAAAAAGCAGGGCCGGCCAAATAGCTCAGCAGACTAAAGCGCCTGCTTAGGCAGACTTAGGGACCAGGATTTGATTCCCTGGCCTTCCATGCCAGCCCCACCCCCAGGGTGCACTGAGATAGTAAATGAGATGAGGCATGGTGGCGCATGCTTGTAATCCCAGCGCTTGGGAGGCTGAAGACAGGAGGATCACTACAAGTCCGATCTATGTAGTGAAAGCCTGTAGACCTTGTACTAAATTAAAAAAAAAAAAAAATGCCCAGTTAAATCTCAATTTCAGATATACCTTGGATACTTTCAGGGAGTATGAATCCTAAAAATTATTTGTTGTTTACTCAAATGTCAGATGTCACCTGACATCTCTTATTCCATCTGGCAACTTTGCTCCCGATCCCAGCTCCACCAACTCGTACAGCCTCCTGCTCAGCAATGTCATGGGAACTCTGACACCAGTAATCCTGGCTGCCACCTAATTCTCAGAGCAAGACATCATGGCACAAGTCTCTGTCAGACACTAATTTGTCTTCAGCGTCTGTAGCAGGCTGAATCCTATTCTCACCCCAGTTTACTTGTTTACCCTCCAGGACCTCGGAGGGTGACTGGATTTGGAGCAAGGAGCTCTTAAGAAATGGTACAGTTAGGATGAGGCCCTTAGATGGGATCTAATCCAATTGAGACACAAAAGAGCACGGCCCCTGACACTTCTCTTTTCTCTGGGACAGAGGGAAGAGAGCCTAATCTGACTGGAAGCTGCCATGCCTTCTCCTTGCTGCCCTTGTGCCTGCATGGGTGGCTCCCAGCAAGGAGCCCAGAGCCTCCCAACATCGCTGTGGCTAATTCTGGGCCTGTGGATAGGCAGCCCTGTGCCCCTCTCCTGCTCCCACCACTCCAGGCACTGCTGTCACCTGCCTGAGAGCAAAGAATAGGGGGAGTGGGGCCCACTGTTGATACCCCAGAAGCCCAGCAGTTTGTGATTAACATGGTCAGCCCTCTTAAGGACTCCCCAGAGAGGTGGCTGTCGCAATTGTAGCCCCTCCATTTTGACAGAGATATGGCAGCTACCAAACAAGCAACCGTTCTGTGGCCACTGCTGCTGCTCCGTCCTGTAACCACCTCTGACATTACTTCGAACGTTCTGAAGCAGGGCTGTGAACGTACAGACCGGCACATCCACGGGCCTGCCGCTTCCCTGTGCAAGCCGTGCCCCTCGCGCTCCCTCATGCATGACCCCCGAGCTGGGCAAAGTAGGTCCTAACAAAGCCTGTCCGGGTGGTCCCAGAAAGCTGTTGTGGCTCTTACATGAGCAGAGACGTTACATTATTAGTAACACTAGCAGCTGCTGTCCCTTAAGGTTCCAGAGGCCAGCAGCAGAGACCAGCAACAACCAAGAAATATCAGTGGTGAACGACAACAGAGACTGGCAGGGTCGAGTGGTGACAACTCGCCTTGACTGATGGCATTTGGTGACAAGTGGAGGCCAGAAAGTCGCCAAAGGACCTATGACCCTGGCTGCTGGGGAGCCGACAGCAGTGGCAGGGAACTGCCCCGAGCTGCAACTCTGGAGGTCCAGGACTACTAGCAGGCAGAGCCTCGAGCTAGTAACAGCTGCACTTCGGCAATTCCTGATTTCCTTCTGAGCTAAGCAAAGGAACCCTCAGCTGACTGCGATCCAGCTCCTTGGTGTCCACAGGAGAGAGGGAAACTGAGACACACAAAGACGGCGTGGGCAGGGGGTGTGTGCACAGCGGAAAGACCACAGGGCGGCACAGGGAAGAAGAAGCCATCTACGAGCTGAAGAAGAAGACCTCAGAAGGAACAGAACCTCGATCTTGGATCGGCAGCTTTCAGAACCACAAGAAAACCACTTTCTGTTTAAACCCTCATCTTTCATTCTGTGGATTTTGGTTACAGCAGGTCTTTTAGAATAATACTCTCTCTTTAACATCTTGATGGGCTTAAGCATTTTTTAGCGGTACATCTCCCTGAAATCTGATGAAAGCTGGTTATTTCCTTCTACAAGCTATACCTTCTAAATACATGTGACTGAACTGGGTCCCAACAGCTCAGCAGACTCCCGGCCTGGCCTCCATAACTGTGCTGCAGGCTTCTTGCCCGAGATTTCCTGCGCTCCGCATCCCACAGTGTCTGAGTTCTCATAACCAGACCCATCCCCCACCCCTGCCCTGCCAATTACATCATCATTTTCCTAAGTCTGTAGCTTTTCTTTTCTTTTCTTTCTTTTTTCTTTTTCTTTTTTTTTCTTTTTTTTTTTTTTTATTTTTATTTATTTATTTATTTTTTTGGCTAGCACCAGTTGAGTAAACAGTAGGTGCTCAATAAATGATTGTTGGCAACCCCATGCCTGGGCTTTTGCCTTCCACTTACTTGTACTGGTTTATTTCATTTCCTGTTTCTTGGGTTCTAAGTTTTCTCATCAGGATTCTCAGAATGTTTATGAAAAAGATGAAGTTGATCTGCAAAACACAAGGCAGAGGTGGGGCTGATGGTATCATGCCTTCCCAGCCACTTCTCTGGGCTGGGAGGTGTCACAGCCAGGACAGTACATCGCTGCTGCCCAGCACCTGGTGAGCCAGACACTGTGTGTGAGACAGACTCATGGCTGTGGCTCCAGGGTCTGCTCAGGTGCTGGGCAGGTTGTTCACACTGATAGAGCTCTGGGATCCTGGTGGGTCTCGAAAAGTCTAGGTCAGGTGTGGCTGGGAGTTGGCATGGCTCGTGAGCTCCAGGTGGGTCCAAGCTGACCACAAGGTTAGGGTACAGATTGCTAGGTTCTGCTCCCATGGGTCACGGTTCAGTAAATCTGATGTGGGCCCCAAGAATGTGTGTGTGTGTGTGTGTGTGTGTGTGTGTGTGTGTGTGCAGGTATGTGTAAGGGGGTGCTGGGGATTGAATCCAGGAATGCCCTACCACAGAGATATATCCCTAGCCAATTTTCTGTTTTGTATTTTGAACAGGCCCTGACTAAGTTGCCCAGGTAAAAGTTGAACTTGAAATTTTGTTTTCTGGGACTGGGGCAATGGCTTAGAATAAGCGCTTCCCTGGCAAGCACAAGGGCCTGAGTTCAATCCCCAGTTCTGCCAAAAAAGAAAAAAAAAGAATTTTGTTTTCTTTTGTTCTTTTCTGGGGGGTGGGGAGGGAGACTGGTGATTGATCAGAGGGTCTTTGTATTGAGCTATACCCTTAGCCCCTCTTTTAGTTTTTGTCTTGAAATAGGGTCCCTTTAAACTGCCCACACTAGGCTCGAACTTGGAATCCTTCTGCCTGAGCCTCCCAGACTACGGGTGTTACAGCCACGCAGGACCGTGTCTAGCTACAATGTGTACAACTTGCAAAGTGAAGCAGCAGCTGATGGCCCAAAACCATCCTTGGATCCATTGTGTGTAGCAGTGTGTAGCTGTATAAGGATACTTAAAATAACTTAAAAGAGGTTGGGGGTAGATAGGTCAGTGGTGGAGCATTTGCCCAGCAAGCATAAAGCCCCAGGTTGTATAAAAGGTTCAAATGCTGACATCTGTCAAAAGCATGTGTCCACTTTCTGCCAGTTGATCCAGAGCTTCCCTGAGGTCAGGAATGGAGCTGATTTCTTTCCTTTGGGGCTTCTTCCTTCAGTTAGTGCCTGGCCTGAGAGTTTAGGAATTTTCCAACATGGGAGCCTCCCTCCCCCAGCATCAGGAGAGTGGAGTGATCCTTGGGGCACCCTCATTCTCAGAATAGCCTGAGGCTGGGGAACAGTTGCTGAAAGACCAACAATTACAGGCAGTCTAGGACTCCTGACAGAGTGCTGCTTCTTAGGAAACTCTCGCACCTGGAGGGAGCTCGGCCTCCACGTCCTCTACTCCTGCTAGCTCATCAGTTTCCATCTGCCCCATGGCCCCCAGCTCAGAGGAGAACAGCCACTCACCAGAATGGAGAGGATCACGGGCCCTCGAATGACCCACCAAATGGAAGCGTTGGCGTTGATGTCCCAGCACCTAGAGGAGGGAAGGATGGAGCAAAAGCCAGGCTGACCGTCATGGCATTCCTGGGCATCCTTGGGCATCAGGGACCCATGTTTGTGACTCTGAGCACCCACAACTGTGTGCCCTTCACTGGTAGAACCGGCCCCTCTCCTGGGGGGACCTGAGAGGGGGCTCTTGGGTCTTAAAACTATGTCAGAATTTACTGGGGTACATAGTGGCAATCTCAGATACTCAAAGAGGTAAAAGACGACAGGTAGGTGACATCCATGTGTGAGAACTTGGGTGACTAGGGTGACAAAAACAAACAGACATTGAAGACAGATGTGGTACCCACGCCTGAAATCCCAGGGCTCTGCAAGGCTTAGGCTGGATCCCAAGCTTCAGCCTGACTTGGGCCACTTAGACAGACCCTGGCTAAAAATAAGAAATTGCAAAAGGGCTGGAGGTATAGCTCACTGTGGGCCCTAGGTTCCATCTCTGGAACCACAAAAAAAAAAAAAAAAAAAAAGGAAGAAAAGGAAGAAGGGAGGGAGAGGAGGGACAGCAGGCAGAAAGGAAACTTGCTCATTTAAAATACTATTTTAGAAGAGTTATTTTGGGCTAAATTTGGCTGAAAAGACATGTGTGAGCCTCACCCAATCCAGCCCACTTATCGGCCTGGCCACGCCACTGCTCTTGAGACGCAGAATCCTGCCACCACTGCCACCGTGCTGCCTCGTGTTCTCGGCCCTGGCCACGCTCCCTTCTCCATGCTCCCTTCGCCTGCCTGCCCCACAGTGGGCTGGAGCCTTCTCCCACTTCCTCACCCCTTCAGAGAGCAGGACCAGCCCTGTGGGGGCAGCATCCACCCAGGAGCTGAGAACGCTGCGGGGCTTCTCAACAGCGGGAGCAGGGGACCATCCAGGACGGATGGCCGGAGGTCAGGAGCAGCTGAGGTGCGCCTTCGGTGGGCTCCCTCCACCGAGCAGCACCTGCATGGGAGCCTGCGCCCGAGCTGAGCACAGAGCTGTCCCTGCAGGCCTGGCCCGCCTGAAAAGTCACAGCAGGGAAGCAGTGGCAACTGTTCCAGGTGGGCCACTCACCTATGGCCTCTAATGTTAGAAACTGGCTTTACCCAGAAAGCTCCAAAGAAGTATCTATTCTACTTTAATAACTGGATGATGTCAAATAGAGCCATCCACTGGTATCCATAGGAACTGTTCCACTACCCTGTGCAAGTGTCCAGTCTACAGGTGCTCAAGCCCCTTACACAAAATGGCATAGTAGGTGGCCTAAACACGCCCTCCTGCATGCTTTAAATGACCTCTAGACCACTTGGAATGCCCCGTGCAGTGTGGGGGCGATGCTCATTCTACAGTTCTACTGTTTCAGTATTCAGAGTAATGACAAGAAAAGTAATCTATACCTGCTCAGCACAGACCATTTTTGTTACAAACAATTTCAATTCTTGATGGAATTAGTGGATGCAGAACTCACAGTTCTGGAGGACTGACTGTGCATTTCTGTTACCTCTCCTTGGGAGAGCTTACCCCACGTCTTCCAGAAAGTGCCTGCTGATAGCCCATGAAGTCACAAAAATGGCCGGAGAACCTGAGGGGTAGAGACATAAAGAAAGGGAGCAAGGAAAACTCAGTCTTCAACACACACTCGGGGAGCCGAGTAATTAGAAGCATAGTTCTGAGCAGGTATCAAGGTTCGCTTTCCATGGAAAGCCCTTTGGCATATTATGTCCAAGTGTTGCCATGTGCTTTAGGGAGGCTGAGGATGCTGGGAAAAGCGGAAGAAGGATCAGATGGAGACTTTTTGGGTTAAAGGCCTTTTTGGGTTAAAGGTCTGCTGGGAACCTCGGCCAGACTCTAGGGGAGAAAAGGGACTGGACCCTGGGCACATGCAAAGCACCCGCAGGCCTTACTCCACGTGGCCCTTACACTTTAGCTTCCTGTGCCCTGCAATAGTGGTTCCCACTCTTCCACCTGCTTCGCATGTTCCTACATGTGCTGACATTTCGTGCCCATTCCAGCCTTCCTTCCCACTGTGTGTGCTTATGGGACTCTGCCATTTCTCCTTCCTTCTATGCTTTTCCTCCTCTCCCTCGCTTCCTTCTCCTTCTCTTGTCTTTCTACTCTCCTGCCCTTTCCCCATTCTTCCAGTGCTGGGACTAGAACTCAGAGTGTCAGGTGTGTTAGGAAGCACTCTGCCACTGAGCACATTTCCTGCCCTAATTTCTCTTTCTGTACACTGATTCGGAGGATTTCAGAATTTCGGAGGGGTGCTTTGGGTCCCAGGCACTGGGTGCCCTACGAGGCAAGACGTAGGGTAGAGCTGGAGCCCAGGGTAAATCACCCAGGGTAAACCACCCACATTTCCCAGGAAAATGTGGATGAGAAACAGATGAGCCAACTCTGCCCTCAGGAGACCAAATGACCAGCTGTGTGTATCCAGCAGAGAGAAACTGAATCAGAGAACCCGGACCTTGGTCCTGCAGAGCACAGGAGAGGAGCTCACTGCACATACGAGGGACACCACCATGTCCACCTGTGCTGTACAGCATGCAGCTGTTGACTTCCTGTAGCTACTGAGAATTTGCTGCTGCCCGTCCTAGAGGTGCAATGTACCCAGCACCAATAAATGAATGCAAATATATCCCTACGGATTTTTATATTTAAGCAGCTAAAATTATACTATTTCAGTTAGATAATATTATTTCCAGATTATTATTCCAATATTATTTTCTTGTCTACTATGTTTGCTATTAGCATCATCATCATCATTATTATTAGGGCTGGGTTTGAATCCAGGCCTCATAGACACTAAGCAAATGCCACGCTATCCCCCAAGCCCAATTTTGTTCTACCTTTTCAAGAGTCAGAGTCTCATTATGTTTCCCAGCCTCTCCACAAACCCATGCTTAAGCAATCCTCCTGCCTCAGAGTTCCACAGATATAGGCCCATGGCACTGTGCCTGGCCTTTGAAAGTTCTATATGTGACTCTCATTCTGTTTCTTTCTTTAAAAAAAAAAAAAAA